CAAATTTAGACGAGAGGTTTGAAAACGCAAGAACTAAACAAAATCTCAGAGACCAAACTTCTAGACCAATATCAATCAGTATGCATCAATCGGGAATAGCCTAGAAAATTCTCACTAGCAATACAGGCATAACTAGTCCGTTAATCCGTCATGCAGAAATCTATGCACTAAGATCTAACTTCCAGTCAACTAGCTCTTAACATTCATTAAAAATCTCGGTGGTTCTCATCAAAGAAAATCTAAGCAAGGCAATCTAGGCTAGGTGTAAAGAAGGATTATTTTGGGGGTATGGCTTAAAGTGTTTAAGGGTTACCTGAAGATCTGGAGGATGCAGGACATTATGCAAAACCGCAAGAGAGAGTGAAGCTGTTGGTATCCACAATTTTCAGTCACTTTCTTCTTGACATAGATTCCTGGTCTTCTTCCTCAGGTTCTCTCCAAACTCCCCCAGACTTAGATTTTTGTAAATCTTTCAAAACAATAGCTCCTTAAACGAATAGTGGTTGCTCATTGCTCCACAAATTTCGACAATCTAAGACTCATTAGGCTTTTTTGTTTCCCTTTCTCTTTTCACGTTTTTTTTTTTGTTTTGTTTTTTTTTTTTTTTTAGAGAAAGGGAACACCTTTAGATATATAGTCTTAGAGAGCACAAATTTACCAGTTAATATCTGTATTGTAAAGCTTTATTATGTTTCTGATACTCTTCCTTCCCAATTCCATTCAGTCTCCTTTGCGAGTGACTGAAAACTGCGTCGCTCCTCTTCTCTCCGACGTTTTTGCACATATCTGCTGATATAAACTAAAAAGAGAATGCATGAGGATTGAAAACAAGGGTTTTGGGTTTAGGGTATGGTACCAGATAAATATAAACTGGTCATCTAGGACGACAAAGAGTGGTAAGAGTGAGGGTAAAAGACGTCCTAGATGTGTATGTCGATGCCTGCCTAAAATCAATGATGAGAAAATTAGATATCAATATTAAGTCCAAATAAAATGAGCTAGTATATCCTGTCAGAAAGAATCTCCATGAATAGAAGTCCTCTGGTGGGAGTTCGTAGTGCAAGTACTCTAGCTACCGCCTAGTCTAGTGCTAACCACAAATGAGCTATTATGCATAGTGTAGAAACGTGCAGGTCTAAATCATCATAGTTTTGCGTCAAACATTCCTGAAAAATACTTAATGTCGAATAGGTTACATATTAAAATATAAAAAGTACTTGAAATTAAAAAGCAAAGCAGGAAAATGATTAGTACGGATAGACATCCTCCCCCAGACTTAAATCACACTGTCCCCAGTGTGAAAAAGTTGGTGAGAAGATGGTGAATAAAAGTGAAATAAGATAAAAAGAAAAGAAAATGATGATAGAACCGTGATGATAGTGAAGTGCTGATCAATCACTCATCCTCCGAAGTGTCGTCTGCGAACTGGTGCTGCTCCTGTAAGAAGGGGACAACGCGCTCAAAGCGTCGTCCCTGTCTCTCAACTCTGCGCTCCAGATCGGAATGAGTGTGTGATGATGTAGATGATGAGGTGTGGCCGGTCGGAATAGAAGGCTGAAAATGAGCACGGGCCGCAGCTGCATCACGCTTCGCCTTGGCCACTATGTACTGGCCAATGGTGAATGATAGACGAGGTACGGATGGCAGAAAATCATCGGATTCCGGAGTCCATCGAGGGCGTCCTCCGTTGCTCAATCTCGGGATAGATGCTGAAGGTAAGCGGACTCGGTGCTCCTCAGTGCCAGTGCAATACTTGTAACCAAACCTGTCTGGATCGAAAGCGGCACGAGAGATAGTGTGATTGCGAGAGAGATAAAGTAGATCATACCAGTCATCAGGAAGTGGATCATCAGATGAGAAATCGAATCCTACAACCTGTAGTATCGCTGTAATAGCAC